CACTGATAGTTCTAGCCTGTGCTACCATTGTTTCCTGGTAAAATATATGATAAAATCCCATAGGAGGAAAATTCCACTTAGGATTAGGGTTAGGTCCCCATAAACTCATAGAGCAAAATGGACATGGCCAAAACACTCGGAGTGCTTTAGTATGGTTGGGAGGGAAGTGACTTTTCTAGGCTGCTCTATCTATGTTTCCTGTTGAAATACATGGGAAAATTCCATAGGAGGAAAATTCCACTTAGGTTTAGGTTTAGGTCACCATGAACTCATAGACCAAATGAACATTACTAAGAAACCTGTATTGCTTGTGTATGGTTACGAGGGCACTGACCTTTCTTACCTCCACCATCAATGTTTCCTGGTAAAATAGATGGGAAAATACCATTGAAGGAAAATTCCACTTAGGGTTAGGGTTAGGTCACTATGAACTCACAGAGCAAAATGGACATTGCCAACACACTCGGAGTGCTTTTGTATGGTCAGGAGGGAACTAATTTTATTAGGCTGCCCTATCTATGTTTCCTTGTAAAATACATTGGAAAATCCCATTTGAGGAAAATTCCACTTAGGATTAGGATTAGGTTACCATGAACTCATAGAGCAAAATGAACATCGCCAACAAACCCGGAGTGCTTGGGTATGTTTAGGAGGGAACTGACCTCTTTTCCTGCCCTATGTATTTTTTCTGGTAAAATACAGGGGAAAATCCAATTGGAGGAAAATTCTACTTAGGGTTAGGGTTAGGTCACCATGAACTCACAGAGCAAAATGGACATTGCTAACACAGTCGGAGTGCTTTTGTATGGGCAGGAGGGAACTAATTTTATTAGGCTGCCCTATCTATATTTTCTGGTAAAATACATGGGAAAATCCCATTTGAGGAAAATTCCACTTAGGGATAGGGTTAGGTTACCATGAACTCGTAGAGCAAAATGTACATCGCCAACAAACTGGGAGTGCTTTTGCATATTTAGAAGGGCACTGAACTTTGTAGCCTGCTGTATCTATGTTTCTTGTTGAAATATATGGGAAAATCCCAATTTAGGAAAATTCCACTTAGGGTTAGGGTTAGGTCACTATGAACTCATAGAGCAAAATGGACATTGCCAAGAAACTCGGAGTGCTTTGTTATGGTTAGCAGGGCACTGACCTTTCTAGCCTGCGCTATCTACATTTCCTGGTAAAATATATGGGAAAATCACATAGGAGGAAAATTCCACTTTGGGTTAGGGTTAAGTCGCCATAAACTCATAGAGAAAATGGACATCACCAACACACTGAAAGAGCTTGGTTATGCTTAGGAGGGCACTGACCTTTCTAGCCTGCCCTATCTATGTTTCCTGGTAAAATACAGGGGAAAATCCCAATGGAGGAAAATTCCACTTAGGGTTAGATTTAGGTAGCCATAAACTCATAGAGCAAAATGAACATTACTAACAAACCCGTAGTGCTTGGTTATGCTTAGGATGCACTGACCTTTCTAGCCTCCCCTATCTATGTTTCGTAGTAAAATACAGGGGAAAATCCCAATGGAGGAAAATTCCACTTAGGGTTAGGGTTAGGTCCCCATAAACTCATAGAGCAAAATGGACATGGCCAAAACACTCGGAGTGCTTTAGTATGGTTAGGAGGGAACTGACTTTTCTAGGCTGCTCTATCTATGTTTCCTGTTGAAATACATGGGAAAATTCCATAGGAGGAAAATTCCACTTAGGTTTAGGTTTAGGTCACCATGAACTCATAGAGCAAAATGAACATCGCCAACAAACTGGGAATGCTTTTGTATATTTAGAAGGGCACTGACCTTTCTAGCCTGCGCTAACTATTTTTCCTGGTAAAATACATGGGAAAATCCCATAGGAGGAAAATTCCATTTAGGGATAAGGTTAGGTCACTATGAACTCATAGAGCAAAATGGACATCGCCAACACACTCGGATGCTTGGATATGGTTAGGAGGGAAGTAACTTTTCTAGGCTGCTCTATCTATGTTTCCTTTTTAAATATATGATAAAATCCCATAGGAGGAAAATTCCACTTAGGGTTAGGGTTAGTTTACCATGAACTCATAGAGCAAAATGGACATTGCCAAGTAACCCGGAGTGCTTTGTTATGGTTAGCAGGGCACTGACCTTTCTAGCCTGTGCTATCTACGTTTCCTGGTAAAATACATGGGAAAATCACATAGGAGGAAAATTCCACGTAGGTTAGGGTTAGGACCCCATAAACTCATAGAGCAAAATAGACATCACCAACACACTCAGAGAGCTTGGTTAGGCTTAGGAGGACACTGACCTTTCTAGCCTGCCCTATCTATGTTTCCTGGTAAGATTCAGGGGAAAATCCCAATGGAGAAAAATTCCACTTAGGGATAGGGTTAGGTCACCATGAACTCATAGAGCAAAATGAACATTACTAACAAACCCGTATTGCTTGTGTATGGTTAGGAGGGAACTGACCTTTCTTACCTGCGCTATCAATGTTTCCTGGTAAAATACATGGGAAAATCCCATTTGAGGAATATTGCATTTAGGATTCCGGTTATGTCACGATGAACTAATAGAGCAAAATGGACATTCCCAACACACTCGGAGTGCTTTGGTATGGTTAGTAGGGCACTGACATTTCTCCTAACCAAAGCACTCCGAGTTTGTTGGTAATGTCCATTTCGCTCTATGAATTCAGGGTGACCTATCCCTAACCCTAAGTGGAATTTTCCCCCTATGGGATTTTTCCATATATTTTACCAGGAAAAATAGATAGGGCAGCGTAGAAAAGTCTTTGCCTTCCTAACCATACACAAGCACTCTGAGTGTGTTGGCGATGTCCATTTTGCTCTATGAGTTCATGGAGACCTAATCTTATCCCTAAGTGGAATTTTCCTCCTATGGGATTTTCCCATGTATTTTACCAGGAAAAATAGGTAGCGCACGCTAGAAATGTCAGTGCCCTCCTGAACATACCCAAGAATTCCGCGTTTGTTGGCGATCTTCATTTTGCTCTAAGGGTTCATGGTAACCTAACTCTAACCCTAAGTGGAATTTTCCTCCTATGATATTTTTCCAAGTATTTTACAAGGAAACATAGATACGGCAACATAGAAATATACATGCTTTTCTAACCGTACCCAAGCACTCTGAGAGTGTTATGTCCATTTTGCTCTAGGAGTTCATGGAGACCTAAACCTAACCCTAAGTGGAATTTTCCTCAAATGGGATTTTCCCATGTATTTTACCTGGAAACGTAGATAGGGCAGCCTAGAAAAGTCAGTGCCCTCCCAACCATACCGAAGCACTTCGACTGTATTGGTAATGTGCATTTTGCTCTACGAGTTCATGGTATCCTAACCCTAAGTGGAATTTTCCTCCAATTGGACTTTCCCATGCATTTTACCAGGAAACATAGAACAGCATTGAAAAGTCAGTTCCTTCCTAACCATACCAAAGCACTCCAAGTTTATTGGCAATGTCCATTTTGCTCTATGAGTTTATGGTGACCTAACCCTAAGTGGAATTTTCCTCCAATGGTATTTTCCCATGTATTTTACCAGGAAACATAGATAGCGCAGGCTAGAAAGCTCAGTGCCCTAATAACCATACCAAAGCACTCCGAGTTTGTTGGCGATGTTCATTTTGCTCTACGAGTTCATGGTAACCTAACCCTAAGTGGAATTTTCCTCCAATGGGATTTTCCCATGTATTTTACCAGGAAACATAGATAGGGCAGCCTAGAAAAGTCAGTGCCCTCCTAACCGTACCCAAGAACTCCGTGTTTGTTGGCGATGTTCCTTTTGCTCTTTTAGTTCATGGTAAGCTAACCCTAACCCTAAGTGGAATTTTCCTCCAATTGGATTTTCCCATGCATTTTACCAGGAAACATAGATAGCGCAGGCTAGAAAGCGCAGTGCCGTACTAACCATACCCAAGCACTCCGAGTTTGTTGGCGATGTTCATTTTGCTCTACAAGTTCATGGTAACCTAACCATAACGCTAAGTGGAATTTTCCTTCAATGGGATTTTCCCATGTATTTTACCAGGAAGCATATATAGGGCAACCTAGAAAAGTCAGTGCTTTCCTAAAAGTACCCAAGCACTCCAAGTTTGTTGGCAATGTTCATTCTGGTCTACGAGTTCATGGTAACCAAACCCTAACCCTAAGTAGAATTTTCCTCCAAAAGGATTTTCCCATGTATTTTACCAGGAAACATAGATAGGGCAGCCTAGAAAGCTCAGTGCCCTCCTAACCATACCGAAGTATTCCGAGTCTGTTGGTGATGTCCATTTTGCTCTATGAGTTTATGGTCACCTAACACTAACATTAAATGGAATTTTGCTCCAATGGGATTTTCCCATGTATTTTACCAGGAAACATAGATAGGGCAGCCAAGAAAAGTCAGTTCCCTCCTAATCATACCAAAGCACTCCGAGTGTGTTGGCAATGTCCACTTTGCTCTATTAGTTCATTGTGACCTAACCCTAACCCTAAGTGGAATTTTCCTCCTATGGGATTTTCCCATGTATTTTACCAGGAAACATAGATAGTGCAGTCTAAAAAGGTCAGGGCCCTTTTAACCATACCCAAGTACTCCGGCACCTTTTTTGGATGTTGCTTTTTAGGGTGGGCAAGCTGGGTTATATGACCTGTGAGTTCCAGCACCTTTTTTTTTCTTTAACAAAAAAAGTACTGACTAAATCTATGACTGGGTTTATGTATTACCCTAAACTAATTATATGATTTGTATGGTTTTATCTGACTATGTTGTGTGAATGCAACACTATATTTTGTAAGCCATGATTTATGGCCTCTTTGCTCTGGTGAATAGAAGAGCTGCTAGACGAATTGTAATCACATTGCGGACTCATATTCAGACCACTTTTTTCTCCCACTCCACCCCAACTCAGAAGTTCTAGAAAAGAGCTTATTTTCCTATTTTGTATGCATATGAATGTGGACTTTATGGGGTGTATATGCAGTATGGATGCTTTATGACCAATTGACTAATTATAGCTTATTTTTATTTTTGGTCCTTTTCAGATTGAGAATTACAATGTGTTTCCATAGTAGAGACATTTAAAGCTAAGTTTGCTAGTTTCCATTAAGAGTAAATGGCAGAAAAGTAATATTATTACCTTTAATGAGTGTACTTTTTAGGTAGAAAAAAAAATAACAACAGAGAAATCAAAGCACCAAAGGTAATGAAAGCTTCATACAGGGATTTCGACATTCATCCCTCCTCTTCCTTTTCATCCTGGAGGGAAGGAAAGAAAAAATAATGATTTTCTTCCAAATTTTTACTAATCATAATGACCTTTCAAAAGGAAATACCATCTTTTGAGTTTCCATAGGAGGAACATTCCACTTAGGGTTAGATTACCATGAACTCAAAGAGTAAAAAGGACATAACTCACAAAAAAGGAGTTCTTGGGTATGATTAGGAGGGCACAGATTTTTCTAGGCTGCCCTATCTATGTTTCCTGGTAAAATACATGGGAAAGTGCCATTGGAGGAAAATTCCACTTAGGGTTAGGGTTAGGTCACCATGAACTCATAGAGAAAAATGGACATCGCCAACTCACTCGGAGTTCTTGGGTATGGTTAGGAGGGCACTGACCTTTCTGGCCTGCCCTATCTATGTTTCCTGGTAAAATACATGGGAAAATCCCATTGGAGGAAAATTCCACTTAGGGTTAGGGTTAGGTCACCATGAACTCATAGAGCAAAATGGACATTGCCAACAAACTCGGAGTGCTTGGGTATGGTTAGGAGGGCACTGACCTTTCTGGCCTGCCCTATCTATGTTTCCTGGTAAAATACATGGGAAAATCCCATTGGAGGAAAATTCCATTCAGGGTTAGGGCACAGATTGGCAACCCCCAGCTCCGGAGCTGCATGCAGCTCTTTGGGCCTTCTCCTGCGGCTCCGGAGCCTCATCCGCCAGTTGCAGAGAGAAAGACAGAGAGGCACTTGTGCTTCCCTTCTCTCTCTCTCTCTCTTTCTTTCTCTCTCTCTCTCGGACCTGTCCCCTCATGGGGCTCCTGATTGGCCCTGTGCCCGGGCGCCCCACCCCCTGGGAGAAATGCAGCCAGGAAGTCCCTTTCCCAGGTTGGCCCTGTCCGAGGCACACGTGGCCAGGGAGATGCACAGGGCAGCCCCAGGATCCTCCCTGGGAGTGGCCCGCTGGCACCTCCGCTGAGCAGGCCAGCCCTCCCCCAAGCTGAGGCCCCAGGAAAGAGGTCTGCCTGGTTAGGCTCAGCGTTGCTCTGTCTCCCAAGCCCTGAAGGCGCACGGCTCGCTTTGAACAGGAACGGCCCTCCGAAGTCCTGCGCTTCCCCTGAAGCCCACCGGGAGATGGGAGGGGAGGCGACGGCAGCTGCTCTCTCAAGGGACCTCTTGCCAGCCCAGCGGATCTGATGGGGCTGGCGATCCCTGCCCGGGAAAGGTAGGTAGGTAACAAGCGCCGGATCCCTCTCTGTGTCTCTCTCTCCCACTCAAAGCCATCCTGCAGCTCAATCCTTAAAGCGGTTTCAATCAGCCCCTTCATTGCCAGGCATCCCCATGGAAGTCAATGGAGGTCCACGGTGACTCAAAAGGCCAGGGGAACCACCTGACTGAGTTTGGACAAAAGATCAGGCAAGGTCCCATTCCAACTATCGCTACTTTGGCCAGGAGAGACCCGCACTAATCAATCGTCCTGCTCAGTGATCTGTGTTGATACAAAGCCGAGGAGGCGAAGGCGGTGGCTCACCAGTAAAACCAACGGACTTTGAAGCGCCGCAGCTGACCTTTCGAGTCAAAGCAGACCTCCATTGACTTTCATGGGGACGCCTGGCAATGAAGGGGCCGTTTGAAATCGCTTCAAGGATCGAGCTGCAAGATTCCTTTGAGTGGGAGAGAGAGAGACACAGAGAAATGCAAACGTGTCTCCACAGGAGATGCAGCAAGGGCAGGAGACAAGGAGGAGTCAGCTATGTCTGTGTACAAACCCCGAAAGCTTTCTTCATCTCCCTGATCTTGCTTTTCTTGCTCGCCCTCTAATAGGCATCTGCTGGGTTTCCTCAACCTCCCCCCCCCCCGGTTTTATTTTAATTCCACCACCGCCTCCCTCTTTTGCAAAGTTAGTATTCCAGGGAGTTGGAGCTCGCTTTGCTCCTGGAGTCACTTGACGAAGCTTGAATGAGTGGCCGCCTGCTCCCACCTTCCACGGAGCAGAACTGCTGCTTCCTTGCCCTCCCAGTGAAAGAACCCCAGAGAGCTGGAAGAAGTCCTTTCTCCAGCTTTCTGCTTCTCATCCTGTTTTCCGAGCACCCCTCCCAGAGTGATCCAGAAGCTTCAAAACGGGTCCAAGTGGCTGTTTCACCCTTTCAGGTGCTCGACCAATGGCTTAGGGTTAGGTCACCATGATCTCATAGAGCAAAATAGAAATTGCTCACAAACTTGGAGTGCTTGGGTATGGTTAGGAGGGCACATTTATTTCCTTGTAAAATACATGGAAAAATCCCATAGGAGGAAAATTCCACTTAGGGTTAGAGTTAGGTGACCATGAAATCGTAGAGCAAAATGAACATCGCAAAAAACTCGGAGTGCTTGGGTATGGTTAGGAGGGCACTGATCTTTCTAGCCTGCCCTATCTATGTTTCCTGGTGAAATACATGGGATAATCCCATAGGAAGAAAATTCCAATTAGGGTTAGGGTTACGCTACCATGAACTCATAGAGCAAAATGAATATCACCAAAACACTCAGAGTGCTGCGGTATGGTTAGGAGGGAACTGACTTTTCTAGGCTGCCGTATTACGTTTTCTGGTAAAATACATGGAAAAATCCCATTTGAGGAAATTCCACGTAGGGTTAGGGTTAGGCTACCATGAACTCGTAGAGCAAAATTAACATAACCAACAAGCTCAGATTCCTTGGATATGGTTAGGAGGGCACTGACCTTTTTAGCCTGTGCTATCTATATTTCCTGGTAAAATACATGGGAAAATCCCTTAGGAGGAAAATTCCACTTACGGTTAGGGTTAGGTCACCATGACCTCATAGAGCAAAGTCGACATTGCCAACACAATGTGGAACCCTAAGTGGAATTTTCCTCCAAAAGGATTTTCCCATGTATTTTACCAGGAAACATAGATAGGGCAGCCTAGAAAACTCAGTGCCCTCCTAACCATACCCAAGCACTCTGAGTCTTTTGGCGATGTCCACTTTGCTCTATGTGTTTATGGTCACCTAACTCTAACATTAAGTGGAATTTTGCTCCAATGGGATTTTCCCATTTATTTTACCAGGAAACATAGATAGGGCATCCTAGAAAAGTCAGTTCCCTCCTAACCATACCAAAGCACTCGGAGTTTGTTGGCAATGTCCATTTTGCTCTATTAGTTCATGGTGACCTAACCCTAACCCTAAGTGGAATTTTCCTCCTATGGGATTTTCCCATGTATTTTACCAGGAAACATAGAGAGTGCAGGCTAAAAAGGTCAGGGCCCTCTTAACCATACTCAAGCACTCCGAGTTTGTTGGTGATGTTCATTTTGCTCTAAGGATTGATGGTTACCTAACCCTAACCCTACGTGGAATTTTCCTCCTATGGGTTTTTCCCATGCATTTTACCAGGAAACATAGATAGCGCAGGCTAAAAAGGTGAGAGCCCTCTTAACCATACCCAAGCACTCCGAGTTTGTTCGCGTTGTTCATTTTGCTCTACGAGTTCATGGTAAACTAACCCTAACCCTAAGTGGAATTTTCCTCCTATGGGATTTTCCCATGTATTTTACAAGGAAACATAGATAGGGCATCCTAGAAAAGTCAGTTCCCTCCTAACCATACCAAAGCACTCTGAGTGTGTTGGCAATGTCCATTTTGCTCTATTAGTTCATGGTGACCTAACCCTAACCCTAAGTGGAATTTTCCTCCTATGGCATTTTCCCATGTATTTTACCAGGAAACATAGAGAGTGCAGGCTAAAAAGGTCAGGGCCCTCTTAACCATACCCAAGCACTCCGAGTTTGTTGGTGATGTTCATTTTGCTCTAAGGATTGATGGTTACCTAACCCTAACCCTACGTGGAATTTTCCTCCTATCGGTTTTTCCCATGTATTTTACCAGGTAACATAGTTAGCGCAGGCTAGAAAGATCAGTGCCATCCTAACCATACCCAAGCACTCCGAGTTTGTTGACAATGCTCATTTTGCTCTACGAGTTCATGGTAACCTAACCCTAAGTGGAATTTTCCTCCAATGGGGTTTTCCCATGTATTTTACCAGGAAACATAGATAGGGCAGCCAAGAAAAGTCAGTTCCCTCCTAATCATACCAAAGCACTCCAAGTGTGTTGGTAATGTCCATTTTGCTCTATTACTTCATGGTGACCTAAACCCTAATCCTAAGTGGAATTTTCCTCCTATTGGATTTTCCCATGTATTTTTCTAGGAAACATAGATAGGGCAACGTAGAAATATACGTGCCCTCCTAAGCATACCCAAGCACTCCGAGTGTGTTGGCGATGTCAATTTTGCTCTATGAGTTCATGGTGAACTAATCCTAACCCTAAGTGGAATTTTCCTCCTATGGGATTTTCCCATGTATTTTACCAGGAAACATAGATAGGGCATCCTAGAAAAGTCAGTTCCCTCCTAACCATACCAAAGCACTCCGAGTGTGTTGGCAATATCCATTTTGCTCTATTAGTTCATAGTAACCTAACCCTAAGTGGAATTTTCCTCCTATGGGATTTTCCAATGTATTTTACCAGGAAACATAGATAGTGCAGGCTAAAAAGGTCAGGGCCCTCTTAACCATACCCAAGTACTCGGAGTTTGTTGGCGATGTTACTTTGCTATAAGGGTTGATGGTTACCTAATCCTAACACTAAGTGGAATTTTCCTCCTATGGGATTTTTCCATATATTTTTCTAGGAAACATTGATAACATAGATAGCGCAGGATAAAAAGGTGAGAGCCCTCTTAACCATACCCAAGCACTCCGAGTTTGTTCGCGTTGTTCATTTTGCTCTACGAGTTCATGGTAAACTAACCCTAACCCTAAGTGGAATTTTCCTCCTATGGGATTTTCCCATGTATTTTACCAGGAAACATAGATAGGGCATCCTAGAAAAGTCAGTTCCCTCCTAACCATACCAAAGCACTCCGAGTGTGTTGGCAATATCCATTTTGCTCTATTAGTTCATGGTGACCTAACCCTAACCCTAAGTGGAATTTTCCTCCTATGGGATTTTCCCATGTATTTTACCAGGAAACATAGAGAGTGCAGGCTAAAAAGATCAGGGCCCAATTAACCATACCCAAGCACTCCGAGTTTGTTGGTGATGTTCATTTTGCTGTAAGGATTGATGGTGACCTAACCCTAACCCTAAGTGGAATTTTCCTCCTATGGGATTTTTCCATATATTTTTCTAGGAAACATAGATAGGGCAACGTAGAAATATACGTGCCCTCCTAACCATACACAAGCATTCCGAGTTTGTTGGCGATGTTCATTTTGCTCTACGAGTTCATGGTAACCTAACTCTAACCCTAAGTGGAATTTTCCTCCAAAGGTATTTTCCTATGTATTTTGCCAGGAAACATAGATAGGGCAGCCTAGAAAAGTCAGTGCCCTCCTAACCATACCCAAGCACTCCGAGTTTGTTGGCAATGTTCATTTTGCTCTATGAGTTTATGATAACCTAAACATAACCCTAAGTGGAATTTTCCTCGAATGGGATTTTCCCATTTATCTTACGAGGAAACATAGATAGGGCAGCCTAGAAAAGTCAGTGCCCTCGTAACCGTACCCAAGCACTCCGAGTTTGTTGGAAATGTTCATTTTGCTCTACGGGTTCATGGTAACCTAAACCTAAACCTCATAGAGCAAAATGAACATTACTAACAAATCCGTAGTGCTTGTGTATGGTTAGGAGTACACTGACCTTTCTTACCTGCGCCATCAATGTTTCCTGGTAAAATACATGGGAAAATCCCATTGGAGGAAAATTCCTCTTGGGGTTATGACCATGAACTCATAGAGCAAAATGAACATTGCCAACAAACTCGGAGTGCTTGGGTATGTTTAGGAGGGAACTGACCTCTTTTCCTGCCCTATCTATTTTTTCTGGTAAAATAAATGGGAAAATCCCACTGGAGGAAAATTCCACTTTGGGATAGGGTTAGGTCACCATGAACTCACAGAGCAAAATAGACATTGCTAACACAGTCGGAGTGCTTTTGTATGGGCAGGAGGGAACTAATTTTATTAGGCTGCCCTATCTATGTTTTCTGGTAAAATACATGGGAAAATCCCATTTGAGGAAAATTCCACTTAGGGTTAGGGTTAGGTTACCATGAACTCATAGAGCAAAATTAACATCGCCAACAAACCGGGAGTGCTTTTGTATATTTAGAAGGGCACTGACCTTTGTAGCCTGCTGTATCTATGTTTCCTGTTGAAATATATGGGAAAATCCCATAGGAGGAAAATTCCACTTTGGGTTAGGGTTAGGTCGCCATAAACTCATAGAGAAAATGGACATCACCAACACACTCAGAGAGCTTGGTTATGCTTAGGAGGGCACTGAGCTTTCTAGCCTGCCCTATCTATGTTTCCTGGTAAAATACAGGGGAAAATCCCAATGGAGGAAAATTCCACTTAGGGTTAGGGTTAGGTCCCCATAAACTCATAGAGCAAAATGGACATGGCCAAAACACTCGGAGTGCTTTAGTATGGTTAGGAGGGAACTGACTTTTCTAGGCTGCTCTATCTATGTTTCCTGTTGAAATACATTGGAAAATTCCAATTTAGGAAAATTCCACTTAGGATTAGGGTTAGGTCACCATGAACTCATAGAGCAAAATGAACATTGCCAAAAAAATCGTAGTCTTGGGTACGGTTAGGAGGGCAGTGACATTTCCAGCCTGCCCTGTCTATGTTTCCTGGTAAAATGCATGGAAAAATCCCACTTGATGAAAATTCCGCTTAGGGTTTGGGTTGGGTTAGGTTACCATGAACTCACAGAGCAAAATGGACATTGCCAATAC